GAATTCTAGGGGACAAAATCCTCAATATATCTTTACAAATAGAGTATCTAAAACTTACCTCGAGTCATTTCCAAGGAACCTTTTTTTAAGATAATATTAAAGCTACATGCCTCCAGATGATTCAAAATATTTCAAGAAAAAAAAGAGAGAAAAATTAAGTTTTTAAGAAAAATAAAAGTATTAATTTACATGGTATGTGCGATTAATGTATTTATCTTCTTATTTCTACTGCATGAATAATGCAGCAAGGGCTACATTTTTGCATATTATGGTCTCTTTTTGATGAATTTTGCAAGCGGATTGTAAGTGCTGTTTGCAATCTGTAAGTTCACTTCACAATATTTTACTTTTTTTTTTTTTCCAAATTTTCATGAAAATTAGGATAAATCTGGAGTAAAGCTGCTTAAAGAATATCAATAATTATGTAATCTCCCAGGCCTTAACTAGAATTATTTTTTTCTTAAAACATTAAATAACTGTAGGTGTATATTTACAATTCATTAATATGATCTCCAAGTTTTCATTTTTATGGTATTGTACATATTTACATACTCCTTATTCAGAAGCCTTTTTAGGATAGCGATAAAGTTAGCACTGACATTTTTTTGAGTACCTGAACAGCACTATATTTTATGAATTCTTCAGAAGCCTTTCTACCGATACCGATAATTTATACACAGTTTCAAGCCATATTCAACCTTTCTATGACATGTCTATACACTTCTATCTGTTCTTCAAAAGCCTTTTCCAGATACTGATGCCGCTGTTCCATAGACATACAACTCAATGTCGCTGACAATTCATCTGGTTTTAAAGCTTTCTTTAGCTTTTCAAAATCTCTTCCATTTTTCTGAAAATTAGCAATAAAAAGTGTTGTTTTTTTTTTTTACATATTATTTTACATGTGTAACTCTTTCCATGTTACCAATGGAACTCAGTAAAATCATCGAAACTTAAAGGGACTCCATTGAGGTTTAAAAGCCTAAAAACATAACATTTGAATTTCTTACATAAATGAGCTGGGGCACTTTTACAAAGATAGTTAAGAAATAAACTTTGAAATAATTGAAAATCGTATTTATATGCTTTTCTTAGTCCAATTTGAGTGAAAAGCGTTTAAACGCTTTTCGTTTTGGGTCATTTATTTACAATGAGAATAATTTTTCTGGAAAAACGTAGTGTGCGAATGATCTGAAATCTTGCACAAAGATTAGAGGTCTAAACCTACATCAAATGGTACATTTATATGGAAAAATTTTTTTCAGTCCCATCTTATCAAAAAACTTCAGTGGAGTCCCTTTAAATCATTTTTCTGGAAATTAGTAATAAAAGTGTTTTTTTACATATAATTTCACCTGTGAAACTCTTTCCATGTTACAAATTGAACTCAGTTATATTATCAAAACTTTAATAAATGTAAGTAATTTAACTTCAAAACTGTTCTATTTTGATTGAATTTCTTTTTGTGATATATGTTTGTATTTCAAGTCTAAACCAACATTGTGAAGTAAATATGACAACATTTTACTTTTCCTGGCGCCAAAAAAATTCCTAGATGCATTATCGCATACTAAAACATGTGCCTGGCTTAAACATCCACCTTTCCATATAGCAACATTAGTTGTCCATTATCGGATTTATACAAACAGTAATAAAGAAAAGTGAACTGAAGTAAGCAACCAGAATCACTTTATAAGAATTACAGTTAACAAAACAAGGACATAATTGATTTAGATGTATACTTTTATGCAAAAATAGCGCTAATGCACTTTTTTAATGCATGTACTTCTGCAGTAGCGCTTATTAAATCCCTCTTCTTGGGCTGATTTTTAAATGCGTACATGTGCTTCTGCAGATGCTAATGCACAAAAAAAGGTGCATAAACCCTCTATTATTTAATTATATCAATATTGCCTGAAGCCAATAATCTATCATCATCGGATACTAGGGCTGGATCAATATACCGGTAAACCGATATTTATCGATTTTCCGTTTTTCAATACGGTACGGTTATCGGGTTTTAGCTATACCGATACAAAGGGAGACAACCTAATAATATTATAAACATGATGGCTTTACATTAAAACTATCGTCTTTAAAATATCCGCACAAAAGTCAAAAGTGTGGAATTTTCTCTAAAGTAAATGTTAAGAAGGCCCTCATCAATATTTGAAAGGCTGCATTGATTAGTTCAGGTGGAACAACGAATATGTCAATACACAAAAATGACGGATAAATCCGTGACAAAATTTATCCGGCAATTCAATCTCCTATATCTAACACTGGTAAAAACTACTTTCAGGTCGGCAGTAGTTTGCATTTACTTGTAATTTTTTAAACACATATTGTGAACACATAAATCCTACAAATTTATTGATTTTCCAAGATGTAGTTTGCTAACTAAATAAATGTGACTGCGCGAAGATGTAGCTAAACACTGTTTCCCGGTATGTTACGGATTACGACACCACAACATCATGACATGATATTTATATTTTTATTGTAATTTTACTGTTTAAGATAGAAAAAAACATGATTTGTTAGAAAATTTTCAATGTTCCAATACTTTCTCAGCGTATATATTTCAAATTCTACAAAAATTTGATTTTATTATAAAGATCTTATAATTTAGAACAGATGATTTGTAGACAGTACTAGACTCCTGTCATAATAAATAGTGATGTTTTAATTATTTTCTGTGTTAACTTTTCCTAGTATTTACGTTATTATATTTTTGCATTGAATAATTTCTCTACAAAGCTTTTTAATTTTTTTTTTTAAAAATAATTGTTTTATCTAAAAAAAGGTCATGTCATTTTCAAAATATTACCTCAAATGTACTAATTAAGGTACCTATGTACCTGCTCTGTATTATATATCACCATTAACAAAGTCAAAATCTAAAAAAGGTATAAGAAAGATTCAATAATATTTCACCAGGGCATCTATGAAATGTAAATAGTACTTTTAATAAGTACATTTGTACATCCTAACAATGAAACATCATTGTACTGTATTGTCAATACGTATTGTGTATCGTTGGTCTGTATCGCAATACGTATTGTATCAGAAATTTCTGATCAATACCCAGCCCTATCGGATACCCATGGTTGATTAACATGACATGTAATCAACTGTGGGTAAATTGAATCAAATTGTGTCAATATGCATCAACAGGTGCGTAAAATATTGACCAATGAAATCCTGTTTAGCAAAATTTATATTGTTCGTCAGCAAAGGTAAACAACTATCAGAAACAAAATAGCAGCGCCCATGGTGTAGACCTGTTTTCAAGTGTCTTAATAATATAAAAGGCAAAACTATCCCCAAACTTAATTATTCCACAAGCAGAGACCACAATAGTATTTTTTTTCTAGAATTAATGTTTCATCACGCCATATAGAACGAGCCTTTTGATTGGTTTTAATTGCCTCAGGAAATTGTGAGGCAACCAATGGAAAGCTGTCTGACACACTTCTTATCGACTGGATATCGGCGAAAAATCCCACGGCTGATAAATGTTAATGGTTCGTCCGTGGATATCCGAAGATGATAATCTATATCAAAATAAATTAGCTATGTAAGAAAATTTTTTTCATAACAAAATAACTAAGGAAAAATTTACTTGAAAAGGGATGTTTAATCTTCTCTTGATGTCCAGCCTGTATTGTCTGAACTTTTCTTTGTCTGCCTCACTTGTAGCCTTCAATCTTAATATTTCATATATTCTTCTTGCTTGTTTCTGAAAATAATAGTCAGAAACAATAAATAAAACTGTATCTTAATATGTAATTGACAATACCTCTTATTATTTTGATGTACAAATAGAACTATAAGCCATTTTGTTTTGTTGTTTGGTGTTACAGCAAACCCACACTAAATAAGTCATATGGCACCGAAACAGGAAAACATGATTTTGGCTAACTGCAGGTGTTATAAACTTTAAAGCAACACCAGGGGTCAAACCTCAAATATCCAACCAAGGTATAGCTAGAGCAACATTTTTATCTTATTTAGTTGCGGCATTAAAACTTAATAATCATTCAGTATAAAAGGCACATTATGCCCCAGATATCAATATATATATTTTTTTCCTTATTCTTTAGAAAGGTAACTATGTGTTTAATAATATTTTGACAGTGAATTTAGAGCAACTTAAATGTAAAATAACTGAAAAAGCTAGCATTGACTAAGCAGTAATGTAATCAGAGAAGAATTTTGTCTTCCATACAAAATACTAACTCACTATAATTATACCAGTTGTCAAAGAAGTGAAAGGTTGTAAATCTATAATGGCCATTGAGTAAGTTTTAAAAAAATGTAAGTAAAAAGATACAAAAAATAAAAAGGTTTTGTGAAATAAAATGATAAACATTTCAGGGCTTTATGGGCCTTTAACTTACGCTGTTGAGCTTAAGTTTAAGCCTGGCTTCATGAGACATATCATCATCAAATCCTTCATGTAACTTGGCTGGCTGAAAACTTTTCAAATTCATACAGTTCCGTGCATCAACAAAGTCACGTAAACGCTGAAAGTTCTCCGATGGATCTTCAACTGTAAGAAAGTCAGTAAGAATTCATGTATGTATGTTACCAAGGGGACCCTAAGGGCCCTTGATCGCTCACTTGAGAAATAGGTCAAAAGATCAAAGCTACAGTTACCTTATTTTATCAGTATAGTATTTAGGGGAAGTGACAATAAATTAAAAAGAACAAGCAATTATCATAGTATTGCAAGCAATCCATAAGTCCCCTACCGGTTAGAACCCCATCAACATTCTGAAGGGCCATTTGCCATTCACTAATGTTTCAATTTTTCTCTATTTTAAGTAAATTTGTTGGAAAAGTTCTTTAAAAGTGATCACAGGAAACAGTTTTTATGAACAGACAGACAGACGGACTGAAGGACACTCGTAAAGTAAATATTTGAAACATCCCTGTTACCAAAATATAACATTTTGAAAGCAAAATTCTTAAAGAGGAGATAACTCTTGAATTAAAGATGCAATTTCATAAAAATTTTCAGCTCTTTTGGACTCATCACAAATATTGTATATTTGCCATGTTTTGTTGCCAAGGCAACTGATATTTTTTCAAAATAGGAAGAACAGATAAGACATGCATAATCTCAAGAGTGCTATTTACCCATATGTCAAGTTTCATAAAAATATTTCCAGTACTTTTTGAGTTATCACTGGATTCAGTTTATGGGTAAAATTTGCCATATTTTCAGCCTATTTGTTGCCATAGCAACCAGAATTTTCAACATAAGAAGAAAAGAAAAAGACATGCATAATCTAAAGACTGCCATCTACCCATATGTCAAGTTTCATAAAAATATTTCCAGTACTTTTTGAGTTATCACTGGATTCAGTTTATGTGTAAAATTTGCCATATTTTCAGTCTATGTGTTGCCATAGCAACCAGAATTTTCAACATAGGAAGAAAAGAAAAAGACATGCATAATCTCAAGACTGCCATCTACATATATGTCAAGTTTCATAAAAATATTTCCAGTAATTTTTGCGTTATCACTGGATCCAGTTTATGTGTAAAATTTGCCATATTTTCAGCCTATTTGTTGCCATAGCAACCAGAATTTTCAACATAGGAAGAAAAGAAAAAGACGTGCATAATCTAACGACTGCCATCTACCCATATGTCAAGTTTCATAAAAATATTTCCAGTACTTTTTGCGTTATCACTGGATCCAGTTTATGTGTAAAATTTGCCATATTTTCAGCCTATTTGTTGCCATAACAACCAGAATTTTCAACATAAGAAGAAAAGAAAAAGACGTGCATAATCTCCATACTGCCATCTATCCATATATCAAGTTTCATAAAAAATATTTTCAGTACTTTTCAAGTTATCGCGGGATCCAGTTTTGTGGACGGACGGACTGACTGACAGACAGACAGACGGACGGAGGGTAAACCTAAAGTCCCCTCCGGTTAACCAGTAGGGGACTAACAAGAGCCCGGTTTGAGCCGGGTGATGCTCCCCGAATAGGTTTTGGACACAGGAAAGTACACCTCTTGTAGTTTCAGAGTTATGTCCCAGGAAAAAGTTCAAAGTGCAATAATTCCAAAATTAGGCAAGGCAGTGTTACTGTTCTTTGCACTGCACTTATAATCAATGTGATCTATCAACCTACAAAGTTTCTTGATGATATCTCTTATGATTTCCGAGTTATGTCCCGGACAACTTCAAAAAGTAAAAATAAACAAAGGGCAATTACTCCAAAATTAGGCAAGGCAGAGTTATGATTCTTAGGCACTGCACATCTACCCATTGAGATATATCTACCTACAAAGTTTCATGTTTGATATTTCTTATAGTTTTACAGCTATGTCCTGGACAAGATTTTTCTAAAAGGGGAGATAATTAAAAAATGAGGCTTAACAAAGTTATGGTTCTTTTGCACTGCACCTCTCCTCAATAAGATCTATCTACCTACAATGTTTCATCTTGATATCTCTTATAGTATTAGAGTTATGTTCAAGACAAAGTTCAAAGTGTTTAAATTAACAAAGGGCAATAACTCCAAAATTAGGACAAATAGTGTTATTGTTTTTATGCACTGCACATCTACCCATTGAGATCTATTCACCTACAAAGTTTCATGTTGATATCTCTTATAGTTTTAGAGTTATGCCCCGGACAAGATTTTTCTATAAGGGGAGATTATTCAAAAACCGGGCAAAATAGAGTCCCTCAATGCCCTCTACCACTGTATGAAGTTTCAACAAATTATCTCCAAGGGTTTTCAAGTTATGCTCCGGACAAGACAACGGACGGACAGACGGACGGACGGACATGGCACTGACTATATGCTCCCCTGAAATTTTTCGGGGAGCATAAAAATCATATGAAGGTATTTGTTTCTGTACCTGTGATGTCAAGAATATCTGAGTCGCCATAGCAACCATTATAGAATGTCTGTAATAACTGTGCTCCATGGCCTTGTTTTTGAAATGGAGGTAACACCAGAACCTGGCTGAAATAACAACAAAAAAAACAGAAATAAAATCACATCAAATAATTGTTCAGTTAATTCTTAAAATTTCCTTAATCTGCAGAAAACATAAAACTTTTAAATTGTAAATTAAATTGTATTAAATTGTACAGTTTCAAAATTGGATACAAGTCCTTTTCACTTACGAAGATGATATTTAATTTCTTGTTTACACTAAATTCATTCTCACAAAAGTTATGTAATATACAATTTCAATATAAAACAAAATTGTTTACAGTAATGGCACTTGCACCACTTTAATGCAGAATTACAGTGTATATTGAAGAGAATGAAAAACTTTCTCCACCTACCTGATTCTTGGCCGGGTTCTACAAGGGTAGGCATAGTACTTGTAAACTGTCATATAACCAGCTATAGCGTACATAGGGTTACCATCTTTCTTGTATTTTTCAAACCTATTAAATCAAATAATAGTCACATCATGTAATACATGTATATACACAAGAGTGATCAGTGATCACATGTGTCACCTCATGATAGCCAATAGCATGCTGCAGCTACTTTGTAGCTTAAGACACAAAAATCATTAACAAGCCAAACCGTGTTTTTTCGAAGGACCGTTATTGATGTGCATAGGATTTGGAACAAGTGTGACCTATTTAAACATTAAAATTGGGTTTCATTAGAAATTTTATATTATATACAACCATAGTACAGCATACGGTAACAATAATGATATACAGCGGTATCATTTAGTAAAATACTGTTAAATTTATTTTTCTTTGCAGTTTCAAGGCATAGTTATTGTAAAAAGTACAATAAATCAGAGGGTAAATGTCTTACAGTAAATAAAAGGTCCATCTTTCATCATCAACATCTATAAAGGAGGCAGCATCAATGTAGAACAGTATAAATGTCTGAAGTCTCTCGTGATACTCTCGGAACCCGGGACATTCGATGTCCGTCTTGTATATCTCAAACTGTCTATCTTCACCGTCTACAAACAAAACAATGTTACCTCTTTAATAATGTAACTATTAACCTCTTTATTAACGTAACTTTTAACAGGGCTCCAGATAAGATGCGTATACGCGTAAATTACGCATGGAAATAACACGTTTACGCATTCAAAACAAAATTTAAGCGTATGAAAACGCACACAAAATTCAGGTTACGCATTGAGCAACATTTCTTTCGCGTATAAACGTAACCGAAAGTAAACTCGGTGATTATCTTATTTTTAATTTCGTCTGAACGCTTTGCAAGCGTCTACCGGTAACTTCCTGTAGTTCCGACCATCATCGGTTGTTATCGTATGTATAGTATGGTGGTGGAATTAACTTCGTATGAATGCTTTGCAACGTCTAACGGAAACTTCCTGTAGTTCCGACTATCATCGGATGTTATCGTATGTATAGTAAGGTGGTGGAATTAACACAATTTCATAAACATCCGGTACAATGTCGCTGTCAAAAGTTAAAACGATTGACTCGTATTTTATGCCGAAAAAAATCGGTTAAGGTTATAATTAATGAAATAATTAGCGCTGCCACGTATGAGCAACAGAAACATGCCTCAGGTTCAGATAAAACGTATGCCGTTTGGAAATGCAAGATTATAAACCAAGGGAGTCCAAAAAGCAAAAGAAATGACTTTGAGTTTGACATATCTTGTATTACAAGTATGATAATGCAATAAACATGGAAGCATAATAAATGTTTTACGGAGTAAAAATACTCCTGCCAAATTTCAGATTTCAAGTTTTACTCATTCACAAAAAAGTCAATGAGTAAATACTTATTGCCCTAAAAAATTATCTGGAGCCCTGTATTAACCTCTTTATTAATGTAACTATTAACCTCTTTATTAATGTAACTATTAACCTCTTTATTAAGGTAACTATTAACCTCTTTGTTAACGTAACTATTAACCTCTTTATTAACGTAACTATTAATCTCTTTATTAAGGTAACTATTAACCTCTTTATTAAAGTAACTATTAATCTCTTTATTAAGGTAACTATTAACCTCTTTACTAAGGTAACTATTAACCTCTTTATTAAGGTAACTATTGACCTTTATATAAAGGTAACTATTAATCTCTTTATTAAGGTAACTATTAATCTCTTTATTAAGGTAACTATTAACCTCTTTACTAAGGTAACTATTAACCTCTTTATTAAGGTAACTATTGACCTTTATATAAAGGTAACTATTAATCTCTTTATTAAGGTAACTATTAATCTCTTTATTAAGGTAACTATTAATCTCTTTATTAAGGTAACTATTAACCTGTTTATCAACATAACTATTAACCTCTTTATCAACATAACAAGTAACCTCTTTATTAACAAAACTACAACCCTCTTTTTTAGTATATTTTTTTTTCATATTGTATGAGAAATAAACATTTTATATTCCTTGTACATTTACTTCCTTATTTTTATTCAGATTTTTATTTTTCGTTGGTTTTATATATGCATCTTGCTATTTCTAAGCATCTACAATAATTTTTAAGGAAACCTCTGATACAACAAAGCAAATTGCGAAGTTTTTTTTTGCTGGAACAGCAACAATGGCAGTTTAAAACTGAAGTTGGAGATACAGACTGAAGCTTCTACTGACAGAAATATTTGACAATCTAATATAGTACAGTGGTGCTTTAACAGTAAGGGATTGCAGGAATGTTGCAGTATTTATAACAGTGTTTGCATGCATGTTCTGTGAAATAATTATTATTCATGGAGCACAAATTTTATATATTTCATAAAACCACATCAATTTGAAAATTGCAAAAGCTTGCCAATGATTGGCTAAAGACCATTAGATGACAACCTTTTGGTGATCATCAGATCCTAATAAGTAGCGTTATTTAGGACCTGATTTTAATCAGATTGATTTTTATTATTACCTTTGTTCACTGTGTAGGAATGCAGCAGTTCACCATAGGGTTTAAAGTTTACATCTTTAGCCAAAGCCGCACTGAAGTCATCAATGTTTGTGTAATATCCTGGTGGTAATTCCTTTGACAGAGACCCGACTACATCATCTGGCTGAGATAAATGAAATAGAATTATGATGTAATATACTTCAAAATTTATTTTATTTAAAAAGGGAAAGATGATACTGAAAGATGCCAACATAGTCATAGTAATTGATAAATCTGTGAGCCAGGACAACTATCTCTCATTCAAGTTGGAAACTTTTACGCTACAGTAGCACAGTCAGGTCATGTTTTTAAGATTTCTACCCCTAATACAAGGACTCGTCTTTCAGTCTTGACAAAACCGTTCAACATATTTTAGAGAATATTTTAAAATGTGCAATGACTGAATAATGAACAGTGCAGACCATGATCAGATGGCATAGATGTGTTGGTTTATCTTGGTCCCCACTTGTTGCATGAGAAGGTTTATTGCCATTTACTGGCATAATGCTGAAGATTAAATATGTTTAAGCAAACTACATTTAAAATGTTTAGAAACGACGTTGAGGTAGTGATATACAGCTCTGCTTTTTCCTGCAGTAAAGAAAAGTTAGTGGTTCTGTTTACGAAGCAGAAAAAAACTAGAAATGTGTCCATAGGACACGGGTGCCCCCATCGCGCCACTGTTCTGTCAATCTTATGACTCTAGAGCAAATATTTTTTGAAAACTAAAAATCTTTTACTAATTAAAGGGCAAGAACTTTACAAATACTGAATAAATCCACAAGCAAACCCCAAGGTGCATAAGTACAACATAATGAAATGGTTTTTACTAAGTCAAGGGTAATAACTCTAAAAATACTGGATAAATCCACAAGCAAAACCACAGGTGCAAAACTACATATGCTGAGCAACCTTCCTGTAAGGTTTAATGACTCTATGTCAAATACTTTTTGAGTTACATGCGACACAATTAGAAAATTGCAAAATTTTACTAAGTCAAGGGCAATAACTCTAAAAATACTAAATAAATCCAGACAAAAATACCCAGGTGCACAACTACACATGCTGATCAACATTCCTGTAAAGTTTCATGACTGTATGTCAAATCCTTTTTGAGTTACATGCGACACAAGTTGAACTAGAAATGTGTCCATAGGACACGGGTGCCCCCACCGCACCACTGTTCTGTCAATCTTTTTACTAAGTCAAGGGAAATAACTCTACAAATATTTGATAAATCCACAAGCGAAACCCCAAGTGCAAATCTAAAATATGCTGAGCAACCTGCCCATAAGGTTTAATGACTATGTCAAATCCAAGTTGAAAATTGCAAAAATTTTCTAAGTGAAGGGCAATAACTCTAAAAATACTAAATAAATCCAGACGAAAATACCTGGTGCACAACTGCACATGCTGATAAATATGTCTGTAAAGTTACATGACTCTAGGTCAAATACTTTTTGAGTTACGTGCGACACATGTTGAAAATTGCCAAATTTTACTAAGTCAAAGGCAATAACTCTAAAAATACTAAAAATATCCACACGAAAATACCCAGGTGCACAACTACAGATGCTGATCAACATTCCTGTAAAGTTTCATGACTCTAGGTCAAATTCTTTTCGAGTTACGTGCGACACAAGTTGAAAATTGCAAAATTTTACTAAGTCAAGGGCAATAACTCTGAAAATACTAAAAATATCCACACGAAAATACCCAGGTGCACAACTACAGATGCTGGTCAACATTCCTGTAAAGTTTCATGACTCTAGGTCAAATTCTTTTCGAGTTACGTGCGACACAAGTTGAAAATTGCAAAATTTTACTAAGTCAAGGGCAATAACTCTGAAAATACTTAAAATATCCAGGCGAAAATACCCAGGTGCACAACTACACATGCTGATCAACATTCCTGTAAAGTTTCATGACTCTAGGTCAAAAACTTTTTGAGTTACATGCGACACAAGTTGAAAATTGCAAATACTTTTTGAGTTACGTGCGACACAAAAGTGAACGGACGGACGGACAGACGGACAAGGGTAAATCTAAATGCCCGCCACTAACGTGGGGGCACAAAAAAGCCCCAAAAATCTACCAACTTAAAATACTGTTCATGATGCAGGGCCCTCGATCAACCAAATCTGCGGCCGATATTCGGCCGCATTCCCCCACCAAAATAGTATGTTTTTTTCCCCCTAACAGAGGTAAAAATTCCCCCCAGGGCTCCAGATAATTTTTTAGGGCAATGAGTATTTACTCATTGATTTTTTTGTGAATGAGTAAAACTTGAAATCTGAAATTTGGCAGGAGTATTTTTACTCCTTAAAATGTATGTAAAAGAGTAAAACATTTATTATGCTTCCATGTTTATTGCATTATCATACTTGTAATACAAGTTATGTCAAAGTAATTTCTTTTGCTTTTTGGACGCCCTTGGTTTACAATCTTGCATTTCCAAACGGCATACATTTTATCTGAACCTGAGGCATGTTTCTGTTGCTCATACGAGGCAGCGCTAATTATTTCATTAATTATAACCTTTACCGATTTTTTTCGGCATAAAATACGAGTCAATCGTTTTAACTTTTGACAGCGACATTGTACCGGATGTTTATGAAATTGTGTTAATTCCACCACCTTACTATACATACGATAACATCCGATGATAGTCGGAACTACAGGAAGTTTCCGTTAGACGTTGCAAAGCATTCATACGAAGTTAATTCCACCACCATACTATACATACGATAACAACCGATGATGGTCGGAACTACAGGAAGTTACCGGTAGACGCTTGCAAAGCGTTCAGACGAAATTAAAAATAAGATAAGAAAGTTTACTTTCGGTTACGTTTACGCGAAAGAAATGTTGCTCAATGCGTAACCTGAATTTTGTGTGCGTTTTCATATGCTTAAATTTTGTTTTGAATGCGTTAACAAATTATTTCCATGCGTAATTTACGCGTATACGCATCTTATCTGGAGCCCTGTTCCCCCTCAAAACATATAAAGTGTTAAAGAGAACAAGAGGGCCATGATGGCCCTGAGGTCGCTCACCTGTATATAGCCCCCCCACCCCCCCCCCCCGGCCAATTTTTACCCAAGGGCTTTTATTTGTTTATTTGAACAGACTTGGTAGACAGCCATAAGAAGATGTTTCATGCTAAACATCTAAGTTCTAGCTCATTGGGTTTTTTAAAAGAAGATTTTTAAAGTTTTTACTATACACATATAGTTAAAAACAATGACACCCCTGGGGCAGGGCCAGTTTTGACCCCCGGGCTTTTATTTGAACAAACTTTGTAGATATTTACTTAAAGATGTTTCATGCTTAATATCTAAACTCTAGCTATTTGGGTTTTTTCAAAGAAGATTTTTAAGTTTTTGCTATACACATATAAGGAAAATCAATGACCCCCCCCAGGCGGGGCCAGTTTTGACCCCAGGGCTTTTATTTGAACATACTTGGTAGACACCCATTAGAACATGTTTCATGCTAAATATCTTAGCTCTAGCTCTTTGAGTTCTTTAAAAGAAATTTTTTAAGTTTTTACAATATGCATATAGGGAAAATCAATGACCCCCTGGGGTGGGGCCAATTTTGACCCCAGGGCTTTTTTTTTAACAAACTTGGTAGACACTCATTAGAAGATGTTTCATGCTAAATATCTTAGCTCTAGCTCTTTGGGTTCTTTAAAAGAAGATTTTTTAAGTTTTTACTATATGCATATAGGGAAAATCTATGACCCCCTGGGGCGGGGCCAATTTTGACCCCAGGGCTTTTATTTGAACAAACTTGGTAGACATTCACTAGAAGATGTTTCATGCCAAATATCTAAGCTCTAGCTCTTATGGTTCTTTAAAAGAAGATTTTTTAAGTTTTTACTATATGCATATAGGGAAAATCAATGACCCCCCGGGGTGGGGCCAATTTTGACCACAGGGCTTTAATTTGAACAAACTTGGTAGACACTCACTAGAAGATGTTTCATGCTTAATATCTAAGCTCTAGCTCTTTGGGTTCTTTAAAAGAAGATTTTTTAAGTTTTTACTATATGCATATAGGGAAAATCAATGACCCCCTGGGGCGGGGCCAATTTTGACCCCAGGGCTTTTATTTGAACAAACTTGGTAGACACTCATTAGAAGATGTTTCATGCTAAATATCTTAGCTCTAGCTCTTTGGGTTCTTTAAAAAAAGATTTTTTAAGTTTTTACTATATGCATATAGGGAAAATCTATGACCCCCTGGGGCGGGGTCAATTTTGACCCCAGGGCTTTTATTTGAACAAACTTGGTAGACACTCACTAGAAGATGTTTCATGCTTAATATCTAAGCCTTAGCTCTTACGGTTCTTTAAAAGAAGATTTTTTAAGTCTTTACTATATGCATATAGGGAAAATCAATGACCCCCCGGGGCGGGGCCAATTTTGACCCAAGGGCTTTTATTTGAACAAACTTGGTAGACACTCACTAGAAGATGTTTCATGCCAAATATCTTAGCTCTAGCTCCTTGGGTTCTTTAAAAGAAGATTTTTTAAGTTTTTACTATATGCATATAGGGAAAATCAATGACCCCCTGGGGCGGGGCCAATTTTGACCCCAGGGCTTTTATTTGAACAAACTTGGTAGACACTCACTAGAAGATGTTTCATGCCAAATATCTAAGCTCTAGCTCTTAGGGTTGTTTAAAAGAAGATATTTAAAGATTTTTCTTTCGGTTGCCATGGCAACCAGAGTTCTGCATGGAATTAAATTCTTTGAACAATTTTTAAAGGTGACCACCAAAGGAACATTCCTGTGAAGTTTGGATGAAATTGGCTCAGTGGTTTATGAGGAGATGTCATTTAAAGCAAAAGTTTACGGACGGACGCCGGACGGACGCCGGACGAAAAGCGATCACAAAAGCTCACCCTGTCACTTTGTGACAGGTGAGCTAAAAATGAAAACTAATGTTGTTTTTGAAAATTAAAATCAATCTATTTGACGTCTATTTTGTAAGCGGAATATCGTACAGTACATGTCTGCATGTTTCCGTTTGTTTTTTCCCTCAAAATCTACCGTCACATATTGGCCTTTCATCCTGTAAAAATGCTAAAATTTCAACAGAAATATGCAGAAAAAAATCACAATTCCCGTCAACAATTTGATTTCAAATTGTTTATTCATGAAATCATTTTTTTGTCTTCAAAATGTTACATCAACCACGGTAAATTTTGCCGTAAATTACAAACTTGTAAGTTTTGTTTTCATGATACTTTATTAAACAAGCAAATTCGTTGAATTTATATCCCCCGCCGAGTACTGGTTATTATTAACACAACAACTGAAGACATAAGGCTTTATTTATATATTAATCATGGCATAAACTGTAAAATTCTTTGAACTTGAAGCCTTGTACCTTCAAACAAGAAGAGTTTTTAAGTTTTCACTATATGCATATAAGGAAAATCTATGACCCCCTGGAGTGGGGCCAATTTTGACCCCAGGGCTAAAATTTGAACAATTTTGGCAGAGGACCTATATGTTATATCATATACCAAATATCAAAGCTCTAGGCCTTGTACTGTCAGACAAGATTTTTTAATTTTGCATTTTTGAAACTCCTTTTCTGGCCCCGTGTGACTGATGATTGTGATTGAAAATTACAAAATTTTACTAAGTCAAGGGCAATAACTCTAAAAATACTAAAAATATCCAGACGAAAATACCCAGGTGCACAACTACACATACTGATCAACATTCCTGTAAAGTTTCATGACTCTAGGTCAAATACTTTTTGAGTTACATGCGACACAAGTTGAAAATTACAAAATTTTACTAAGTCAAGGGCAATAACTCTAAAAATACTAAAAATATCCAGACGAAAATACCCAGGTGCACAACTTCACATGCTGATCAACATTCCCATAAAGTTTCGTTGAATTCCAGCCATTAGTTGCAGAGAACTACTCCGGAAACGAAATTCGGACAAAATTTTACTGAGTCAAGGGCAATAACTCTAAAAATACTAATAATATCCTGACGAAAATACCCAGGTGAACAACTACACATACTGATCAACATTCCTGTAAAGTTTCATGACTCTAGGTCAAATACTTTTTGAGTTACATGCGACACAAGTTGAAAATTACAAAATTTTACTAAGTCAAGGGCAATAACTCTAAAAATACTAAAAATATCCAGACGAAAATACCCAGGTGCACAACTTCACATGCTGATCAACATTCCCATAAAGTTTCGTTGAATTCCAGCCATTAGTTGCAGAGAACTACTCCGGAAACGAAATTCGGACGGACGGATGGACGGACGGACGGAAGGACAACGCCAAAACTATATCCCCCTCCCGATTCCATCGGCGGGGGATAATAACTGATGAAAAACGATCTTATAATAAACAATCAATTTAATTTTATATAATTTACATCGGAAACAACTAGAATTGTGGATGTGTAAACAGAAAACAAACAAATTTTCATTTGTCACATATTTTCGCGATGCCGATTTTTACGAATGTTTTACAAAGTCAAGAAAAGGAAGCTTTGTCTTAGTAAAAGGTGTGTTAGAACACTAAAAATGTAGTTTATGAATAGAATTTACTTTAGGTCCATGTATTGTTCATATTAGTTGAAATGGAGACATTTGTCTGAATGTGTTTCACAATGCTTATTTTTCTTTTATTTTTTTATTGGGGGGGTGGGGGGGGGGGGGGGGGGGGGGGGGGAATCATAAAGAAAGCTAAGCAGCATAAAGATCTGATGGTGTAAGGATTTTAAAAAAACTTTTCTTCAAATCTTATCAATCACTTCTGAACAGTTAAGTGTAACCTATTTGGGATTTTTAAAAAAATAGTATGCGTGTAAATAAAAAAACAGCTGATATTTAAATAAGTTTATTTGTTATTTGATCATGAAAAAAAAGAGGAAAATTCCCCCCATACACTAAAATTCCCCCTGCTGAGGGTAGCGACCCGCTTCCCCCAAATTGGATTGAGGGCCGTGATGCAGGAAAAAAAGCCCCAAAAATCTACCAACTTAAAATACTGTTCATGAGTCAGAAAAAATCCCCAAAAATCTACCAACTTAAAATACTGTTCATGATGCGGAAAAAAAGCCCCAAAAATCTATCAACTTAAAATACTGTCATGATGCAGGAAAAACACACACAAAAATTCCCAAATTAAATTTTTTTTAATAAATATTAATTATACAAAACTTCTGAGTTACCTTTAGTCCATCAAATTTCTCAGGAGAGACTTTATCTGTGTATTTAATATTGAGGTATGTTGTCAGCTTGGACGCACTGTAGTACAGTTGTATGGCAAGGTCTTTGTACCCAAATATGTTTTCTCTGAAATGAAGATGAAACATCAATCACAGTTGACAGATGATTTTAAGATCAATGCAAACGTTTCATGACGTGTCTTCTGAAATGAGCCACAAGTATGGCAGTTATTATAACTGTAACGAAATATAATTGTTTAAACAGTATTTTAAGTTTATATACCAGCAATACATTCCTTTAGAAAGAAAGTAAAATTAGACAGTAACGTGATAAATCAAGAAATCAGACGAGGTGAAAAAAATCTTTAAATGGTGTTTCTCCAATGCTAAAAATATACACACAATATAGTATAACTTTTTTTTCTTTTCACAATTAGGATGAGGGGCCATGCCCTAAATTTTGGAAAAAGTCACAGACCTGAC